TACTTAACAGTAAATTTTGAGTACTGATGATTTGCCAAAGACCTAATAATACATGTACTTTGTTATTGGGTCTTTATGTCTGTGTCTGTATATGCAGAGCTCAGATCTTTATTGCTATTCCAGACATGTTAGCAACTCAGCAGTCAACGTTCACGAAAATCCTCTCTGGCAGGTTTATGAATCGGTGTCAGCACAATGACGTCACACTTTGGCCCCTTTGTTGAATTGACTGACACAAAGGAGGAATGTTTCAAGTTCAATGTTATACCAGTAAACACTACACCTAATCTGCAATAGTCCATGTACTGGGTATATGCAGGTTCGTGCAGGTGAAATTGGGGCTGTGCAGGTATTTCTGATGTCTACCTGCACCTAACCTGCACTGGTCCATGTACTGGGTAGATGCAGGTTAGTGCAGGTAAAATTGGAGCTGTGCAGGTATTTCTGATGTCTACCTGCACCTAACCTGCACTGGTCCATGTACTGGGCTCACATTATACATGTGTATGCTTGACTGCTGAAATAATGGCAATGGAGTGTTGAAATTAAAATTTGTCTGTTGCAGGTTGTTTTCAATGTTACCTGCACCAGTGTAGGTATGCAGAAAATAACATTTTGAGCGCCTGTTGAAGTAGGTTTCGTTCTTCAGATCTTACAGTAAGGGTCTATAAGGAAACGTGACCCAATCACTCTCTTACTATAATAATAGATACATGTACGTGTAGCTGGGTAGAATTCAGGTCATGCAGTGCAGATGGTGTGCCCACACTGCTGCGTAGATGAGATAGACTGGTTTAATCTAGATTTCATCTCCCCAGCCAACACCCCCCACTCACTGTACAACTGTAGATGGCATTATTTTTCCTTTTTGCAAAAAATAAGAATTAAAACTAGCATTTATAATCATTCAAATTAAAGGCATCCACTACGGTTTCAGGGCAGTAAATCTGGATTTTCAAAGTCACTATTCTGGTCATTCTTTTAATGTGAATCAACCCTATCGCATAGCATGTTTATCTGTGAGGCAAAAATGCAATGTCACTGGTGGAAAATAGTTGTTGTTTTGTAGGCTGGCTCTAGCTATTCATGGTGGTAACCAGAAATAAAGGGGCTCCTTATGCTGCAAAGTCATTACATCACAAATATGTTTCCCTTGTACAACTAAATACTACACATTTGATTTTGAAACAAATTTAAAACACTAAGCAAACCTTTTTTTGTCTCCTACAGTGAACTAAAACACTTTGAAAGTAAATGACTTTACAGTAGATGTGTACATACTATATACCTGTCCTTGGTGCTGAATGCAAAATTCAATCACACTACTGAATCTGTAGATCACTTTTACTCCTGTCTTTGCCCATTTTCAGCAGAAATAAACTGGTAAAACTGTAAAATGTTTCTTAAAAAGAAGAAGAAAAACTCCTTTTTACAGTATTGTGGTTGATGACGTCCATTGAGCCTTTTGACTGTAGAATACATTGTCCTTTTCGAAGCTGCTTTTCCAATATCCATTCATCACTGGAAACCGTTCCTGTCAGGTTAAGCTCCCTTTCTGCATCACTGTAGCATTGCGCTGATTGAAGAATAGATTCTCACCAATCCCCGAATGGCTCAGCCACGGGCAGATATAATCCGCCATCTTGTCGTCCTTTGAATTGGGTTGGCGGGCATCACATCAATTTGTCACCATACAGGGCTCAAAATTCATTTCTTGGAATCAAATAACATGGATTTGACTGCATTCTCTCATCATACATGTATAATTATATCATTACAAAATCAGGGGATTTGAACTTATGGAATATTCAAAGCTAGTACTAGAATGTGCAGATGTGTTGTGTGTATTTTGGGCAGATCTGCTGTGCACCAATATTGGAGATATTTCCCTATAGAACTATTTGATTAAGAAACACATGTGACTATCTTGTGATAGGGACCACTCATTCTTCACAGAGGTTAGGTCAGGCAAAACCCTATTTTGGGAATGGCCTACATGTGTGCAAATAAGTGATTCCAGGCTCTGTGCAGCCAGAGAAAGAAATATGGGCTGAATTTGACTCTGTACTGAAGGTAAGATATTCGATATAGAAATGTTCCGAGTGAGGCCATATTTATTTTCTTTGTTCTTTGATTCACTTGTTTCATTGCTTTTTGATTTGCCCCAAAGAAGTACATTGATGTTCTGAAGCAACCATACAAATGCTTACATTTTGGTGCCAACTGTCAAAAAGAGTCTTTGTTTTTCAACTTACTACAAAAATCTAAAATTTTGAATTATAAACCAGCCTATACTTCATGTATGTTGACTTTGTAGATCCTATGGCATCATTTGTAATTATCACAAGATGCCTATCCCTTTTTTTGTTGTCTGCCCACTTTGTTGATTTTCTTAAAAAATTCATTAGAACCAACAAATCAAATTGGCCAGGCCTAAGCCAAGAAAGATATGAGTGTGCCCTTTCTGTGGCCTATCAGGCCCTACACAGCTGGCTTTCCTTTCTGACAGTATATAGCAGTCTTCATTGATTTTCTGCTAGTACTGTGTTCAGAATATTGCCAACTGTCAAATATTCTAGGCATTATATAATGTACATGCATTGTTCTAGCTAGTGTCCATCTTTTAGCGATTTGATGGAATTTTGCCAGTCCAAATGGACAAAAACTTTGCACAATATGTCACCTTTGACGGACAAGAATCGGTGTGTAATGATATGGAAAGAGATGTCATAACTAAGCTTAGTCTACCAGCAACATTTGCCCTTTAAGATGCAAGAAATAGTGCTTCAGAGGGTCAAGATTTCAAAATTTTCAGGAGAGCATAAACCGGAAGCCCCCCCCCCCCCAGGATTGGGGCTTGGCACTCGATACAATGTCTTGTCAAACAAAATTGAGATGATGAAAAAAAAATTCAGGCTGGCTACATAAACCGTGTACATATATTTGGCATAACTTCAAAGAAGAAGCAGAGGACTTGCAGAGTACTTAAAGGTATATATACTTTTGAATTCATTTGTATTCAATATTAAGACATATACTTGTAGCTGTCAAATAACAATATCAAATGAGTAGATTTTATCATATGTAACTGGCAACTATAGAAACAAAATGAAACACATCAGTTTTTTTTCTGAAGTAGACCCCCAGTCAATGTCATGCTTTGAATTTGCCTGGCCCGCATTAGAAACTCCAGACCCATCTGGCACAGTCCCTGCCTCACAGCCTTCATTTTCTGCCACATTTGAGGCCTACAATAGACGTGCGCTAGAGATGTATTACACTGAAGGTAGCCCGCTATTTGTTAGCCAGATTCCCATCAACTCCTGGGCTTTTCAAATATAATAGCTGAGGTGGACTTCAGTGTTGAAATAAGGCCAATGTGACTCTTTTGTTATATTATACTATTCATCATCATTCTTTGTAGTTATGGGCACACATTCATTTGCGTGAAGGATACTTGTATTTCAAACCTCTGAATTCTCATCCCATATGTACTCTGTTCCTCTGAACAATTTCCTTAGTGTCATGTCGGTCCATTCCCTGATGTTATCCTCCAATCTTTCAGATTTTCCTGTTGCCTACCTCTCTTTCTTCCTCCTTGTACTGTTTCTTGCATAATGGTTTTTGCTAGGCCTATTGAACGTGACATAAAGTCATACCACTTCAGTTTCTGTTATTTTGCTGTGGTTAGGAAGTCTTCATATGCCATTGGACATATGCTTTGTTTGACTCTGTACGTCATTATTTGGGATATGGTCTCTGTGTGTGATCCCTAGAACATTATGGAGGCATTTCAAACTTCTGTTTTAGTGAATGATGTAAAAAGGCAGCCCTTTCCGCTAGACAATAATTTCTGAGCGACTGTGGATTTTATGATTGGATAATTTGAATATGTATAAGTATGATTTAAAAACATTATTCTCTGTGTATGAAGTTTGCGGAATATTTGGTTGCTCTGGGGTCACAGCCTTGAGTGCAAAGTGTCATCCAAAACACTACTGTATATTCATCAGTCTGTGAACTTGCTTATTGATATGTATAGACCTATGAGGTAATGTTACATTTATGCAATAGAAGGCAAATGTGCCATCTGGCATGGTATTATGTTCAGCTTTCTCTAAGCACAGAGATCAAAGACTAGTGGTTTGCTTTGATCTAGACTAGAGTGTCTTCCATTGCAAATTAGCATTGTGTATGCTCTAGGCTATTAGTACAGAGGGAATATATAAAAGCTGATTATTGCATTTCTTTAGCATTTAGTACAGTAACTGCAATTTCAAAATTTGGTTTGAAGGCCTGGGGGATTTTGTTTTCATAGATAATGGTAGGGAAGACAGTTTTGGGAGAATTTTTCATATTTATCTTTGCTGATAATTGGCAAAGACAGGAGTTAAAGTGATCTGCAGATTCTGTATCTGTATCTTTATAGATTCAGTGGTGTGATTAAATTTCACGTTCAGCACCAAGGACAGGTATAATATGTACCCAGTTACTGTAAATTCATTTACTTTCACAGTGTTTTTAGTTCACTGTAGGAGTAGAAAAAGGTTATCACAGTGTTTTAAATCTATTTTTAAATGAATGAGTAGTACAGTAGTCATACAAGGGAATTCAATGAATTTGCAGTGGGGAGGTCATAGGAAAAACTATAAAATGTAACCCAATGCAAAAGTGTTAAGAATTACTGTGTAACTGTTACAGTATAATACAATTTATGGCTGTACAAAAATGTATTAAAGACAACATAGAGAGTTTATGTTGCTGATTCCCAGTCCCAGATTGGTCCGTAATGACTATCGAGAGAACTATTATAGATCTCACAGATATTTTATGGTGGATTGTAAAGTTGTCATCTGTAACTTAATAAGTTGGGACAAAAGCAGTGATCCATACCATCACTACACTATGTGCCAGATAACTTGTGTCGCCCCGTGTCCCATTATATATTATAACAACACAGATGAAGTTTGATGCTAAGATTTGATGTGTTGTTTGTGCAGGACACAGCTGGCCAGGAGAGATACCGTACCATCACCACAGCGTACTACAGAGGGGCCATGGGCTTCATCCTCATGTACGACGTCACAAACGAGGACTCCTTCAACAGTGTGCAAGACTGGTCAGTATCATCTTATTCTCAGCTACATTTAAGTAACTGTATATCTACAGACTTGAAAAAGATTTTAGGATAGTTTTTCTCAAGTATTTAAACAAGCAACACCTTTAATGTTGGCATGTTGAAAAAAAAAATTGGTAAAATTTAGTTCAAGCCTGTTTTGCGGATTATTTCGAGCTGAAATGAATTCAATATGGCTGCCAGGTGTTACGGAGACTTGCTTAAGTGTTCAACCACTTGTCCAGTGTTACCGCAATTTGCACTGTTTGGAGCAACACAAGGCCCAATGTGACTGCGATTGGCACTGTTTCAGATGAAACGTGTGGCAGAAAATGTGGAGAACGTGTGGAGAACTAGATAGAAATCGTAATGGAATTGGCCAAGGACTACCACGAGCATAAAGTGACTTACATAATGTTGGTTGTGTTTTTGCAGGTGCACCCAGATCAAGACATACTCGTGGGACAACGCCCAGGTGGTGCTGGTGGGGAACAAGTGTGACCTGGAGGACGAGCGCGTCATCTCAACGGAGCGCGGCAAGCAGCTCGCCGACCAGCTCGGCCTCGAGTTCTTCGAGACCAGCGCGAAAGAGAACATCAACGTAAAGCAAACATTCGAGCGCCTGGTAGACATCATCTGCGACAAGATGTCGGAGAGTTTGGATTCCGACCCCTCGTTAGTCAGTAAGGGCCAGGGCACCCGGCTTACAGAAAACCCCCAACCCCAGCAAAGCGGATGTGCTTGCTGAGATCGCTATTCCCATAGCTAAAAAAAAGAGAGAAACGTTCACGTAGAGTTGAGGGACATTTTGCGTCTGAAACCTCCTTCTATATATAAGAGGAAGAAGTGGGCGACGTCCAAAATGTTTTATAGTTTAATTATTTTCGTTTTTGTACCACATTTCATGCAAACGCAAAATAATTATCCCAGTTTTGTAGCTGTTTTTTTTCCGTCAGCTTTTTTTTGTTGTTGGTGGGCATCTAGGGAAGGTTTACCTGTTTTTAAACTGTAGAAGAAGGGGTCGATAAACCTCTTCAAATGTCAATGTCTTGATGTAAAAGAGCAGTAAATGTTTAAATGCACGTTAGGATAGTGTCAGGGCCCTCTGGATTCATTGAAAAAGAGACCCAACATGTCATTGCTGGATTGAAAGATAGTAAAAGAAGGAATCGAAGGATAGAAAAAGAAAGAACTGAAGCGAGAGATTTTCTTATCTTTAGCTCTTTAAGAAATGACATCTACATGTAGTAAATAAGCAAATATGGCAAAGCAACTCCACTAATTTCGATTTGCTTCATTATACAAGAAATTACACTTGAGATTATAGATAAGATATGTACATTGCTTTCTTCTATAATCCACATACTCTGGACTTGTGCTGACTATGTCATTGTTCTGCCTTTTCATGATGTCATTTTATGGTGTATTAATGTTCTCGATATTGCCACTACGATGACCAAAAGAAGACAACTGTTTCATGTACTTAAAACCTTGGAAAGGGTAATCACAAGTGGTGAAGGAAAAGGGAGAAAATATGAAAAGTTTTAGGGCTTTATTAAAGTTTAACAAATAAAAAAAACATGTAAGTATTAGAGAGAGAACTGTTCCGTGGGGCCACTTCTTGGGAGGACATTTGATGTAATTATTTACAATAAATGTTGATTCAATTATGGATATCACATGTTAATTAACTTAACACTGCACAAAACCCTACTTTTAAGCACACTTTAGAACATGCTTAAAGTAAAGGTACACACAAAGGAAGAAACGGAACCTTTACATATGCTTTAAAGTGTGCGTAAAGAATAGACTTTCTGCGGTGTAGCAATGGCAGAACCATTGTACATATTAAGAAAATTGCAAAGGTCTCATATGTACCCAGAACGTGTGATTTTATTCCTTAAAATGAAGCAACAAAAATATGACTGTACCATAGCATTGATACTATTCATGAAACATTGGAAATACTTTCAGAAGTTACAATTTTCCCAGATTGACTAAAACAAAAAACAGCTTCATAGCTAAGGCTATCAAGTCTTTTTGGCAATGCTTGTCACTTAGAGTATCCCTTGTATCAATTGTAAAAATCCATTCTGTTTGCTTCAGTCCACAGGAGCTACTCTTAAAAGGCATTTATCTTGTCTATCTTTTACTCGTCAGAAATATTACGCTGTACTCTTATTGAATAACTGGGAGGTGTGTATTTTAACCCTTACCATTCCAAGGGTGCACTAAAGCATTGCACACCCTATCACACTCGTACAGGTGCACTCTGAGGGTTATCAAAGGCATTTTTGCTGTTTCCCCATACATAAATATGGACAAAAACACTGTTCTCTTTTAATCACACCAAGTGTCCTGCCAAGATTTAAGGAGAAAACTATGTTACAGCACTGCTGATAGTACAATGTGTATATTTGTGAATGCATGATTATTGTACGTTGGAAGCTGCTATGTGTAATGTTAACTCTAGTTAGTAATTTCTCCTGGACCATACTACTGGTGATTGAAGAAAAAGATACGAAAAAAAGTGAACAAAAAGAACCAGTAAAGAACACATGGATATAGCATCTCTATATCCTTGTGGTTAGTATAAAGAAAAAACTAGAGACTTAGGACAAAAGTATAACTTATTTATTAGGGGTTGTTTTCAATGTTAGCTAGATAGGCTTCTTTCTATTGTGGATTGTTGTCAACAGCATGTTAGAGCTATCTGTATATTTTGGAGTAGTATACTTTAGATTCTTAGTGATTTGGTGGTGCGAGGTTCCATGGTGTAAATTAATAGTGAGCACACGCAGCCATAAACAACTTGTATCACTGGAGTTATATGTCCTTTGTGTCAGTGACTTTATTCGTGGACCGTTCCAGGGGTTATAGGTACTACAGATGGCAAAGACGGAGATGGTATTCTGTGATCACGTATTTCCCCATGTCACCCTCCTTGTAAAATTTTCCTTGTTTCCAAAGCTGTAACTGTAGACATGTGTATCATGGTACATACTAACTGGTATACTGCACTTCCAGCGTTGCCAGATAGGTGTCGCCTTTAGCATGTGATACACACTACAGACTTGACTTGGGGAAAGGGCATTCTGGGTAAATGTGGTTGGGCAGTTTAGTTTGGTCCGATTTTTATGTAACGCAAGTGCAAATGCAGAATGTTCATGGCATATATTAAACGTCATAGATGGCAAAAAAGTGTGTTATCGTCTATTTTCATGTATGTTTTATTATAAATTAAATACATGTGTATCATAAAAGGCAAATAAGGGCAATTTCCATAATTTATCCAGAAGTAGAGTTTGGTGTGTCGAACGTCCTTGGTTTGTCTCGGAATATTGTTTACCTGGATGTCTAACCTTCATCAACGTAACGTTACAAACGTTTCCAAAACATACCCTTGGCAAAGGTAATTAACATGCAGACAGCAGGAGAGACGGATCGCATTTTTATTACAATAATTGGCTGCTTACGTCACGTTGTCTACATCAGCCCACGCGGGAGCAAAAAGGTCGCCAAAACGCAGCGACTGGAAAGCGGCGATATAAAACGTTTTTTTCGGCATGACTGGCGGACGTTAGTAGTGGACTGGCATCTTTTAATGACGACTTGTGACTGGTAATTAACAAGTCTGATAGTCGTTATTATGCCTTAAGGGCTAACAGGATACCAGTGTTCAGAATACGTAAGAACCAGTATGATGAGCGCAGCATGGGACGTTTCAAAATGTACATAGAAAGTGGTAGCCTGTATTAGACAATCTCTCGCATACGTGCAGTCAAGTCATCCATCCATGTTTTTCAGCCCTAGGGGTGCCATTAATTCTAGGGAGCAAGTAAGTCAGGTGGACTGCTAGCTCCTTGGAAAAGACACTACACAAGACTATACTCACTTCACCTAGGTGTAGAATGGGTACCTGACTTCGGTTGGGGACGTGAAAGGTGGCGAAAGGAGAGGGATGGGCTCCGCTTTCCAATGCCGTGCCCCAGACATAGTGGATAAGAGAGAGTGAGAAACATGGTTGTTTATTTATGTAGCTGTTGTACTGCAGTACTACCTGCACATGATAAATGTCGCTGTGAGACTGCTATTATACAGGCTGTTGTATCAATGATTGACACGACTGCTACTGTGAGACACAACTATTCCTGTAATATTTTAGCCCCAAAGTTTATGGATGTTAATTGCTCAGTCCCAATATAGAGTTAAGTTAACCATGGATCTGCATGGCTATTTGTTGTTAAAGCCCCTGTCACACATAGCTGAGTATGGTCACCAGAACACTGCCAAACTACACCCAAGTATAGTTGGAGTAGGTCAAGGGGCAAGATCGACTGTGGTTGGCTGGAGTTCAGCGAGGTGTTGACTACCGTTGGGCTGCTCCAGCCGAATATTTTAAAGCCTTTAAAAACTTTCGAGTGTGGTCGGAGGGTTCGGCCAAGTTTGAGTGGTGACTGGAGTTAGCAGTGTTTGGGGTGTGTTCGGTGGTATGTTCAAATTTGATTCAAATTTATCTTAAATTCGATTCGAATTGTATAGGCGTGGCCTAAGATATGGTCAGACCTCTCCGTAAGACTGCCCTGAAATCGCTTTAGCACTGCCTTTAAATCTCCCTGACCACTTCGATTGCATATTAAACTGAGGCTCACATTAATTTTCCAATATAATCAACAACATGGCATAATGAGCACATGTGTACATCTCTGATGAATGTTTAACTAGTAATGCCTATGTAGTCAAACGCAACAATGCCCGAGGTGGACCAAAGTACAAAAATTACCCAACAACCAGAATTCGAACTTCAAGATAGAACGAGTTGTTTGTAGTCAGTCGTTGTTGTTTGTAACGGTCGTGTAAGATCTAAACGAATATCCTACAGACACAACAGAAAGGGCCAGGGAAGATTTACCAACCAACAGGGCAAGAAAAACCAGAGGCAAGAAGGTCTAGAACTCGTGAGTGTCCATCTTGCTTTAAGAGGTTAGTTTTTTTTTGTGTACAGCAACATGAATATGTACTGATCTTACTACTTAATATATGATTGTTCTAATCTTTATGAAACATTGAGGAATGAATACGCTTTGGGAGCAAAAAATTCTTCATTCCTATGAATTCAAACGTTGAGTTTGAGGTTATTGAGAGACCGTTTAGCCTTTTTATTGGGCTGATCTTCAAGGTCCCGTTAAACAATACAAATACATGAAACAGACAGATATTCAAATAAGTTCAAATTTACATACAATTAGTATACAAGTACTGACTTTTAGAATCATGGAACATTAATTGACACTTGTGAAACGATATATACCTTTTTTCAAAGAGTTTCAAAGCGTTCCTTTTATAATATACTCAGTCTGGTAATGTTGCATATTTCATGGGTAGGCTGGTTGCTTGGAAGCTTTGGAACTTCTCGCTGGATTATTTAATTGAATTTCTTTATTTCGGGTATGTCGCCTGAAATAAAGAAATGTAAATCAGTGCAGTGTGAACCAGTAACACCTAGCTTCAATGAAAAGTAAATCAGTAAACCAGTGCACAATGAACGTCATAATTGCCCTAATGAAGATGGCATTTCAGTTTGTAACCAGTCTGATTGTTTCTAGGTTTGACCCTCCATGCGTGTGCGGTAGCCTTGCTGACCAGTCTTGTGCCTTACTGCTCTCAATCTTCCCTATATCACTATCTAGGTAAGTGTGGTCCAATCTATTTACCTCCTGTATCCTTTCTACAAAATGAGTCTTGAAAAATGTACAATTGTAAATTACAATTGACCATAATAAAGTTATAAACCCCATTTCTTCTTACACGTAGAACTCTCTTAAGAGAGAAGAAGCTGAAAGTGTACATATTGTATTACTGTAGATGTAGTAAGATACCAGAACAGTCCTCTATCATAAGCGTTACTGTACATTGAACTTTGTCATGAACGTCTGTCACCATGGCGACATGGCTTACATCATGTTGCAATTTTATAGTAGGAGGGATTTGGACTCCTGTCTGACCATATATGTAAATGTGTGTTGAGTGAGAATTAACAGAGCAGGCCATATGCAAAGGCCATAAACTTTCATTCATTATGACCTTGATCTTGTACGATGACAGGAAACTGCATCATGGGTAAGAAGCTACCCGAAGTGCTGGCTTTTCTCCTGATCGTCCTGGGACTGTTGGGGGCAGCCGAAGCTGATGACTGCAGCTCATCCTGCACGTCTTCCTGTGACTGCAGCGGTAAAGTTTTCGTCACCAGCATCCCGCAGGACCTGCCCACCAACACCACCGACTTAGATTTGGGAAGTAACTATATCACTACTATAAATCAGTCTGACTTCTCTCGCTATAGGGGTTTAACAACTTTAAAACTTCAATACAATCGCATTTCTACCATCGGTAGCCAGGCATTCTATCACTTGTCAAACCTGACCACTTTGTGGCTTTACGGTAACCCGATAAGTATCCTACGAGATGATATGTTTACAGGGCTAGGAAACTTGCAGGAACTTTCTTTGAACAGTGCTAACATCAATGAAATTCAGACTGGAACTTTCATTCCGACACCAGAACTGAGAACCTTGAACCTATACACGAACAAGTTAACAAACCTCAGATCTGACATGTTTACAGGGCTAGGAAACGTGCAGGAGATTACTCTACATGCTAATGACATCATTGACATAGAGACTGGAACTTTCAATCCAACACCACAGCTAAGGAATTTGTCCCTGTATTCTAACAAGATGACAACCCTTGGGTCTGGCATGTTTACAGGGCTGGGAAACTTACAGAGACTTTTACTGTCTCTTAATGACATCAATGATATTCAGGCCGGAACGTTTAGTCCAACACCACAGTTAACATTCTTACGCATGAACCATAACAAGTTGACAAGCCTCAAATCGTACATGTTCACGGGGCTAGCAAACTTGCAGACACTTCGACTAGACAATAATGACATCACTGATATCCAGGCTGGAACTTTCAGTTCAACGCCGCAACTGAAAACCCTGGACCTACATTATAACAAGTTAGCAAACGTCAGAGCTAACATGTTTACAGGGATGACAACCTTGCAGAGCCTTTTGCTATACAATAATGACATTACTGATATTCAGGCTGGAACTTTCAATTCAAATCCAGTTCTCGCGAACTTGCATCTGTACAAAAACTACATTCAAACAATCCCGTCCAACTTACTGGTAAATTTACTGAACCTCACGGAACTAAAACTGTCTGACAACAACATCTCAACGTTTCCCTTTGAGGATTTGTCAAACATTCAAACAATTTCTGTGCTTCACCTTGACAATAACCAAATCACAACTCTTCCCTCTATGGCCTTTGAAACGCTAGCATCCGCCTCTGACGTAAACATTGACCACAACCCCTGGCAGTGTGACTATAGGATGGTCTCCATCAAGGCAAAAATGACGGGATCTTATCCTTTTGAAAATCAGATCACGTGTTCCCAACCTGAACAACTTAATGGGCTGAAGCTGAAAGATATCAGTTCTGAAGATCTCATGTCGAATTGCGAAGAACCAAAAATTGTGAGGTTTGAGAGAATGGACGATGTGACACTCGTCCTGGGTGGAACCCTGCAATTAGTCTGTGAAGCTTCTGGGATCCCCCCTCCAGACATTAGGGTCATTCTCCCATCTGGACTGAATGCAACTGTTGTTTCAGTTGGAAGGGCGACTGTAAAGGCTACTGGTACCATAACCATTAGAAACACAACTGCGGCAGATGCTGGTTTGTACGTCTGCATTGCAGCGAGTCAGTTAGGCTCCAAATTTTCTGACGGCTCCGCTTTCGCCACCCTGGTCGTAGATCTAGAGACAACAGGTAATTTGCTGCCACCAGTGGGGTCGTCTCGTGAATCCGGTTTCTCCCTCGCTGACCTTCTTGGCGCTATCTTTGGTTCAGTAGCCGGTACACTCCTCATTGTTGCCATAGTGCTAACAATCTGGTTCAGTCGGCCTAAGAGGAACAATAACCCTCCCCAATCTCCTGAACAGAGTGTCGTTATTAGCAGGACCAAAACAGAATCTTCAGCCAGTGAGCCTGGTCGGGAAGAGCAGATGCTGTCTTATGTTTAACTTAATCCAAAAGATTTTCCATAGACGAATACCTAGCTGTCCTGTCTGTTGATCACTTAGATGTACTGGTCACTTAAAACTCATGACACAGACTTGTAGGTCCAAGGCAAACTTCCCCAAATACATGTAATTCTTTTCGGTGGAATTTCTAGTGGTATAAACTGATGAAAGTATCATTATCAATTCTGCCAAAAATTGAGAGTGCTAATATCTTGAGAAACTACTTTTATCATGCCAATTACGATATAAAACTGTCCTCTTGTGCGATGTGAAAGACTGATACTAACCCTAATAACGCCTCGCACACACACACACACACACACACACACGCACGCACACACACACACACACACACACACACACGCACACACACACACACACACACACACACACACACACACACAAACACGGAGATGGAATCCAGCCTGAATGTAAATATGATATAATCATCATGTGATATATGGCCTTTAAAACACATAACTCCCTAAAAGTTATACATTCCTTGTACATTGCCATTTTATGTAATGAGATAGCTATTGAATTATCTATTATTTGTACAATCTCATTTATGTAAATGAGATAGCAATTAAATTAAATTATGTATCATTTGTACAATGTCATTCACGTAAGTTTATTGATGTAGTCATCAAATGATGATGAACAGAATATGATGTAAGGTGAATCATGCTTTGACTTTGATGAAAATAATGTAGAGGTAAAGATATATTCTTGAATTTATTTTACTAGTGTGTTTATGTTCTCAATAGTAAATGCATTGAAGAAAGATTTAGTTTCTGGAGATTCTCTCAAAAGATATAATGTGTTTTGACAAAAGTTAACAGATCTAGTTGCCATGGTTTTGTATGAACACTTTTCTTTTATCTGTCGTATAATCATAAATTTCACGGTGGTCTAAATCCTTTGTTATTTGTGCAATGTTTTGTGTCCCATAGAAAAAGAATACTTGTACACCTGTGATGTAACAATTTTGTGGTGTTAATATATTTGAATAATCATTTGCAAGCTTATATGATCTTATATGCTCTTCAGCTTGTGTCTGTTTTTCTGCTTTGGTTCAAACGATGGTTCAATTTCGAACATTTCTTGGGGGGGGGGGGCATGCCCCAGAATG